AGTGATATAATGTATTTTAATTCAGTACATGAATTTTAAATCCCCTAAAATATTTAATCTATTCTCTGCTTTTAATTCTATCTTTAACTCATTTGAGATCATTTTCTGCCATTTTCACTTTTTGAATTTTCTTAAGGGTCCTCTGCTGGAGGCAAACTGTTTTTGCTGTGTCTGAAATAGTCTTTATTCACTTTCATTATTGTGTTTATTTATTTGTATTTCTAATAGTTTAGTCTTCATTTCTTAAATTTTTTGTGTCTAATTCTTGATTTGTCAAATAATTTTGAATTTTTTATATTATGGTTTTTATTGCTCTCCTTTGTCTTATGTAATTTTCTTAATGTCTTTAAGCTTATTTTGAATTATTAAGTTATAGTTTTTATCTGTTCTGAATATGTCTTTCTGGTGTATCTTTATTGTCTGTAGAGATTATATGTTCTTTAGTTCTTCTTTATAGTAATAGAGATTTTATCATGATACTTTTCTATTGTTCATTTTTATGTAAATTTAGTTTTCCTGAATTTTTGAGAGGCTTTTTCAGATGGCTCTTGTAACTTTACTGAGCTTGCCTTCTGAGGTTTCCTGGCTCTGTTCCCCTCACTCACTTTTATATTGACCTTCTCTTTTCTTCACCCCTACTAACTGTCTTCTGCTGAATTCCCATTCTAGTTTCTTTTCAGTGTGGGATTTTGTTCTGGAAGGAGTCTTGGTGGGTCAGCTTTTAGAGGGGTTAAGAACAAGACTGCTCTAACCCCTTTAGGCCTTACATAGTGCTCCTTCCATCTATTCACTTTTGGACAATGGCACTTACTCCTCCAGTTTCAACTGCTGTCCTCAAATTAGCTCACTGAACCTTCCTATAGGCTATTTTGGTTGTTTTCAGATCCTCTGTTTGTAAATAAAATGGGTCCTTCACAAGAGTTGGAGGAACAATAATGAAAGAAAGGTAAGATGAGTGTTAGGAGGCTTCATGGAACAGCTAATTCTTTTTAACATAAGATGCTGAAGCACTTGGAGGTCCTGCAAGCATAACAAACTCAAATACAGCATGACCCAAACAAAGTGAATAATTTTACCCTTACACTTTGTCACTGCATCCCATAAGTTATATGGTATATTTTCACTTTCATTTATTTAAAAATATTTTCTGATTTCTTGTGATTACTTTCTTTGACTCATAGGTTATTAGGAAGTACCTTGTTTAATTTCCAAGTATTTTAGAATTTTTGAAATTTATCTTTGCTATTGGTTTGTAGTTAATCCATAAAAGCACATATACAGTTCTTTTCCTTGGAAATACATTGAGATTTATTTTTTGACCCAATATATACTTTCTTGAAGAATGTTCCATGTGCATTTGAAAAGAATGTGTTCTTCTGTAGTTGGGTACAGTGTTCTAAAATGTCAAATAGGTCAAGCTAGTTCATTTTTCTCTCTACTTGTGCTATTGATTACTAAGAAAGGAATGGTGATCTGTTTTTCCAGTTTTATCAGTTCTATCAGTTTGTGCTTCATTTATTTTGAAGCTCTAGATTTGAAATGCTGGCTTTAACATGTAATAAGTTCACAAATATATATGAATCTGTTGTCTATTTCTTGACTATTTTGCTCCATTGCTCTGTTTACATACCCCCATATTATTTTAATTACTAAGACTTTAGAAAATACTTTGATTATCATTAAGATAAATCCTCTCCCTTCCCCACAACTTTTCTTTTTCAAAAATATGTTGGTTCTTTTCATGCATTTTCTGTCATTTAAAATGTGAACATCAACTGGTCAAGTTCTTGCTGAGATTCATCTTAGGTATTTTTGTATTTTATAAAATATATACTTTATATTTATTTGTTGCTCAGAGATATTTTTCCTATTCAAGATAAAGAACAAGGATTGACAGACTTTTTCTTCAAAGGGTCAGGTGATAAATATTTTAGGCTGTACAGGCCATATGATCTTCACCACTGCTAACTTGGTCATTGCCATTGTAGCACAAGAGCAGCCATAGAAAATACATAACCAAATGAGTACAAAAATTTATATACAAAAATAGACAACAGATCAGGTTTGGCCCATGGGCCATAGTTAACTGACCCCTTACATAGAGAAAAATTAATTTTTACATAGTTATCTCATGTCTGGACTTTGTAATGAATTTACTAATATCATGTTGGCCAGAAAGTTTGTTTGTTTTTTCCATAAGATGGCTCATTGTCCAACCCAATACAATATTTTAGTTGAGTCTATTATTTCTATGTAGGCAAATATATAAACAAAAGACCATTTTTTCTAACTTTTCAATATTTATACCAACAATTCCTTTATTTGTCTCATTGCATTGGCTACATAACTCTAAGCAATACTCAATTGCTCACAGGAGGTATTGCTGTTTTTTTTTTTAATTGGAACACTATTTTTCCCCTCCAAATATGATGTTGCTATGAGTTTCTAAAAAAATGTTCTTTATCACATTCAAGTTTCAGATATAGCTGCTTTAGATCTCTTCTAAGATCCCTTCTAATTGCAATTGTTTCACTATAAAGTCATACTGATTTTTGGTTATAACTGTAAACAAATTAAGTACTCAGTATTCCACTGAGCAATTCAACACAGCCCACTGAAAACTATTAACCTATTTTTACCTAATGGATACCTTCCAGCTCTTCTGATTCAATTACTTGAACCTCTAGACACCACAGAAGAAAATTAATTCTTCCAAGAGACTAAGAAAAATTAAGTAGGAAATTAAACATTTTTGTTTTAGAGTTGCTTTCATTTGAGATTTTTCAATAAAAATAAATCAATGAAATGACCTTTGAATATAAATGTAAACTTAATTGAAAATTTAATAATGTACTAGACAAATTGAAGGTTAAAAGTAAAAAAATTACTAAGACTTAAATGAGAATAAAACTTACAATGTTTATTTCTGAAAAGCTTTGATCCAACCTGTGAATCCATAAGCACATACAATTTTTAAAATATGAATTTAAAGTTCAAAGTTAATAAATGCATATACAATTATATTTAAATATTTTTAAATTTTCCCTTAAATAATAATTTATATACTCACAAAGGTGTCATGGAAGTTTAATATTCATATCCTAGGCAAAAATTGATTTATTGTTGGTATGGAACTTTGTATTTCAGTTACTCAGAAGTTTTCAATTTGAAATTCACTTTCGAAAAATACATTTTAAAAAATTCAATCACTATTTCCATATTTACTTACTTAATTTCCCTAAAACAACTAAAAATTAGTTCAGCTATAAAAAATATGAGGCACACATTAAGAAGAGACATATTTACCATCAAAAATTGTGGAATTTTTCACTACAAGAGTATTTTAAGGGCTAGATAATAAAAATAAAACAGGCAATACGTAGTAAATATTTTCATTTAAATAATAACATGAAATCCTCAGGAACACTGTTGTACATTATACCTATTTTACATAAGAGAAGAAATTAAGAATATAAATATTAAAGCCCAGTCACCAAAATTAAATTAATGTTTAGCAGAGACCATTGTTTATATGAACAATGTAAATAGGTAGAATCATTAATTTTATTTAACATAAAATACATTTTTGGCATATAATTATTTTTTAAATGAAAATTATCCATTTTAATTCATCCAATTCAGCCGTAGGAACAATATACGCCTCTTAAAAATTAAAGATTTACAGCTTAATATTAGAAATTCTCTCAATATAATACATAGAATATTCTGATCTGCACTGAATCACACTGTGCAATTACCTGAATCAATTACTTTATAGCTTATAATCAAGTCTAACTGGTCACAAAAATTCTTTAGTAAAAATATCACTGCAATTGTATGAAGCAAAGTTCTAAAATAAGATGAATGTAGTGATGGCCACAATCTTTTCAAAAAACAGAATGTAGAATTTTTTGTTTTCTAAACTATGAATTTGGTTTTCCAAAATTTGGTTCCCAAAAGCCAACTTCTAAATGTTACAACAGAGGTGGGACGTAATGAAAGTAAATTATTTAATGTAACTCTGAAGGAAAAAATAACTATCATAGATCTTAGTTTGAAAAATATATCTTGCATAAAAGATATTCAGAGTTACATGATAATGCTTACATCAAAGTTTATCAGTTAGCTAAAGGGAAAAAAAAATAAGAGGCAAGTAGAATGTAATACTTGCTTTCAACAAAGCAGACTGAGTAATATGTTCCAGTGTTAGGGTGGGATAAGAAAGAAATTGGGCCAAGCAAAAATTTCCCCTTGGACCTTCTACATAAACATCTATTTTAGTTTTGGACTGTTCACCAGTGTGCTCATGTGATGGTGAGAAGGAGATCTACCCACCCATAAAATGCTTCCCAGACCAGCAGGTCCTTGTCCTGTGGCTCTATAAAAACAATTCATCCTCTGAGGTCTCCCATGGGAGTATGGAAGAATAGAAAAATGAAATTCAAGTTGCATAACAAGATAAAGTATCCTAATAGGGCTCTTTATGGAGCTGAGTTACTCAAAAGCCATCTAAAAATACAGATTCTAGCTAAAAACACATGCACACATAAACAAGTATCTGTCTAGAAAATGTCTGTAAGAAGTCATAATGATCTTGCAGTTTATTGGCCCCATATACTGCCAGAATCAGGCTTTAGAAGGTCCTGGAAATCCTCAGCCCCTTTAGCTGTCTTTCCAAATAAAATCTTAATGAATATAGTTTAAGTCCTTTATTGGGCTCTGTAATCCCTTCAAGCAGTTGTTTTAAGTAACTTTTTATTTTGCTGGAAAATGTGGGAGGTTATTTTGATATTATCTAAGTAAAATCAGTGGGTAAATTCTGTTCACCACCAACCAAATGATGCTGCCTTCAGGAAGCTGTCAGAAAAAAAATTAAATGATACACCAAGAAAGCACGTTATAGGCATAAGCAAGGCCAGTCAGCACAGCTTGAACATGTTCTTTACGAGGAAGCTCCAAGCCACTTGGTGATTTCAAGTGTGAGTCAACAGAAGTTTTTCTTAATGGAAAGTCACAAGCTTCTGAAGAACTTCAAGTACAGTTTTATAACAAAAGTAATACTGCTCCTACATACATGTATATGAAAAACAACAGAATATTAAGTAACTGAATACCCATATCCACTCTCAGAGAACACATTTGTAATTTTTACAAAGGAAAGTTCCTAAAAGAGCAAACATTTAACTAATAATTTATTTACATAAATATATTTTTAAATATCAGGAAAATAAATGATCACAATATAGTTCTTGCTCTAGAACTAAAGGATAAACTGAATAGAGAGAAAACTGGCTCTCACTCTCAATCTTCTTATATTGTGCCTGGACAAATTTAATTTTAAACTTATTTTTTAGAAATAGCCTCAGGTCTTTTACACCACTAGTTCAAATAAAATGCTTTACATTATTTGCCATTGGCCTAAAAACAACCCAAGCTAAAGATTTAAGGGTACCTATTTGTTTTCATTATCCATTTTCTCTTAACCCCCAAATGATTAATAGTTCACCTGTGACAAATGATATCATTTTTTGAAATGTCAATGACATTAATAATTCAGTGGAAGATAAATATTCCAAAATTTATATTCAAAAATTTATGAAAAATAAATTATATTACTTAAATAACACAGCATTATGTGCAAAGCTTGTGTTTGAACATCAGGAGACTTCAGTCTTAGTTTTGGCTCCTCCACTTGCTATCTGAATAAACTTATGAACAGATTGCATTGCTCTGAACTTAAAATTCTACATCAGTAATATCAAAGCAAAATCAATGTCTACTGCAAAAGGTAAAAATCAGTGAAATTATGTAGGTAAAATATTTATAAATTGTAATGTGCTATATATAGTGTTAACTTTTATATTCATTATTCTTCAAATTAGAATTTATGAGGTGAGAGCTTACCTTTGTTTGAATCATGCCATAACGCTGTTCTCTCATTTGGGCCACTATATTTCTGATGTTGAACTGCAACAGGATGATAGTAATTTTATATTGTCCATATAGGGGAAAAACACAAATGTACAGATTGCCAAATGAGTATTCCATACTGCTCTCCAGTAAAAGAGATGTCAAGATTTAATCAGAAAGTTCTCATTTTCAGTTATAAGACAATGCACTATTTTTAACCTAGTGTAATGGATGAGGAAGACTTGTTTAAATGGGTTTCCAGGAAAAAGCAGGAAGCAATAATTTATAACAAGAAATGTTCTCCAAAAGAAATAACAACAAATTTTCCCCTGTGTATACTTTTTACTTTTCTGTTCTCCAAAGGGCGAACTTAAAGTAGCATTGTAATTCTGGAAAAGTCTGGAAGCATGGAAGACTTTTTCTGGCTATAATAGTAACACAGCTGTTTCTCATAAAAAGAGTCCTCTTAACCCAAATGGAGACCCTGAACAACATTTGGCTCAATACTAGATTCTGCGCATTTGCAGAGATCTACTCTACTCAGTGTAGTCACTGAGCTTGAGCAGGTCTGCAAAAGGCTGTTGCTGGTCCACAATGCAGTAAGCCCAGTAAGAGAGTTTCTAGTAAGTTTTAGAAACTCTCATTACAATCTGACACTGGTGCAGCATCAAGAGGTGTCATCAGTGGAACAGTACACAGACCAGCTAGGGTGTTGCTGAACTGGCCTGGAGGGTCATATGTAGTGCAAGCTGAAGACCAGTTACATCCAACAAGACCATGCTGACATCTGAAAATTTTGAGGTTTGTCAACCATAACCCCAAAGTATATAAAAAATCAGAGAAAATGTAAGCATTCCTTTATTTTTGTAAGTTATCATTTTATAATAATTTAAAATTTTAATTTAGGTTTTAAAATTTTTATATTGAATTATTCACAGTAAATTGCAAACATAAAATTTAAAGAGAAATTCTGTGTGTATTTCTCCTGTTTCCCCATATTATACCATCCAGGATAGTATAGTATAATATCCCAACCAGGAAATTGACACTAGTACAATCCACAAAGCTTATTCAGATTTTGCCTGTTTTATATGCAATCATTTGTGAGTGTGTGCACTTGTATGGCTGTGTGGTTCTGTGCAATATTATCATATGTAAAAATTTATGTAACTGCAACCATAATGAAGGTACCTAACTATTATACCATAAAACTTCCTATGCTATCTGTTAGGGCACCCAACCACCACAACCCCTAACCCTTGGCAACAGTAATATGTTCTCTGTCTCTATAGTTTATTTCAAGATTACATGGCTGGAATAAGGTACTGTCTAACCTTCTGAAACTGACTTTTTTCATTCAGCATAATTGCTTGAGACATATCAAAACTGTTGTATATATTAATAGTCCTTTTCTTCATATTGCCAGATAGTACTCTATGGTCTGGATATGTACCAATTTTTTAACCATCAACTTGTTGAAAGACATCTAGGTTGTTTCTAGTTTTTGGCTGTTATGAATAGATTTGCTGTGAACATTTGTGTACAGGTTTTGTGTTAATATAAGTTTTTGTTCCTCTGGGATAAATACCCAAAAGTGCTGTTGCTGTGTTTATACTGTTAAGTTTAGCTTATCTTTTTAAAAGAAATTGTAGCACTATTTTCCAGAGTGGGTATACCATTTTACATTCCCACAAGTGATGTATGATTAATCCAGTTTATTTAATCTTCACCAGAATTTGTTGAAGATTTTTATATCACTATTTTCATATTAGCCTTTCTGATAGATGTCCAGTGACATTTCATCATGGTTCTAATTTAATTTTCCTAAAGGCTAAAGAAGCTGAGCATCTTTTCATGTGCTTACTTGTCATCTATATATCCTTTATGCTGAAATTTCTCTTCATGTCTTTTACCCACTTTATAACTGGATTGTTTTTTTTTTTTGGATTTGTGTTTCAAAGGCTCTTCACATATTCTAGATGTAAGACCTTTGTGGATATACAGCTTTCAGTTTCTCCAAGTCTGCAGCTTGTATTTTCAATCCTCTTCATAGGGTCTTTTACAGAACAAATAATTTTCATTTTCTTTCCCCCTAATATCAGTGATGGCAAAATGTGTTCTCTCACCGCCTGTATTCAACACAGCACTTGAAGTTCTAGGTAGCACAGTAAGGTCAGAAAAAGAAATAAGAGGCATACAGGCTGGAAAGGAAGCCACAAGTCTGTCCTTATTTTTTGGATTGAATGATTGTCTATGTAGAAAATGCCAAGAAATCTAAAAACAAAACAGCACAGACAATCTTCCTAGAACTGAGTTTAACAAGATCAAAGGATATAAGATCTGCACATAAAAACTGCACTTCTACATAGTAACAATGAAATATGGAAACTGATAGTAAAAACACAATACCATTTACAATCACTCTGAAGAAAATGAAATAACTTGCCCTGGCTGGTGTGGCTCAGTGGATTTACTACCAGCCTGCAAAACAAAGGGTTGCAGGTTTGATTCCCAGTCAAGGTACATGCCTGGGTTGTGGGCCAGGTCCCCAGTAGAGGGCATGCAAGAAGCAACCACACATTGATGTTTCTCTCCCTCTCTTTCTCCCTCCCTTCACCTCTCTCTAAAAATAAATAAATAAAATCTAAAAAATTTTTAAAAAGACAATTAAATGTTTAACAAAGCATGTATAATATCTATATGCTGAAAATTATAAAATGCTAATGAGAGAAATCAAAGACCTAAATAAATGGACAGACATACCATATTCCTGGATTAAAAGATTCAAAATAGTCAAGATGTCAATTCTCACCAAATTGATCTAGATTTTAATAAATTCCTATAAAAATCTTGGCAAGGCTTTTTGTAGACAGAGACAAGCTAATTCTAAAATTTATGTGGGAAGGCACAGACCCTATAATCATTAAAACAATTTCAAAAAAAAGAAGAAGAATGTGTGAGGAATCACTCTACCTGATATAAGGACTTACTATGTAATTACAATAATGCAAAGTGTAGTATTGGCAAAAGAACACACATACAGATTAATTGAATAGATTACAGAACCATAACTAGTCCCATACAGACATGTCTAATGATTTCTGACAAATGTGCAAAAGCATTTCAATGAAGGAACAACAGCCTTTTCAATAAATGGTGCTGGAGCAATTGAACATCGGAAGGAAGGAAGGAAGGAAGGGAGGGAGGGAGGGAGAGAGGTAGATAGGTCAACCTTGACCTAAACCTCACACTTTTTACAAAAATTAACCCAAAATAAATTATGGACTTAAATGTAAAACATAAAACTACAGAACTTTCAGAAAATAGCAGAGGAAAAATTCTTTGAGATTTTGGCTGATGAATACTGACACTTTACACCAAAAGTAAGGTCCACCAAAGGAAGTATTGATAAAATAAAACCTCACTGAATTTTAAAACCATTGCTTCTTTGAAAGCCTGTTTTTTTTAATTTATAATTTAAGATTAGAAAAATTATGGAAATAAATTAGTATTTATTTAACCTCAATTTACTATTATTGGCAAAACAAGCTTCATTGGACTATCTTGTTACAAAATGATGATTATAGATGTACCTGAAGAGAAATGAAGACCCAAAAAGTTCATGTTAATTTTACCTGGTGTTATGATTCCTCACATATTGAGTTTTATAGCCATTATTTTTTTACAACAAATTTGACCATTTAATGAAATGGAAAACTTTTTAATCATATTCCATTTGAAGGTTAGATTATGACAAATCACATTATCTGAACAAACCAATTACTAGCAATACATTTGAATCAGTAATTAAAACACCTCCATAAAAAGCCTAGGCCTGGATAGATTTACAGGGGAATTCTAACAAATATTTTAAAAATGACTAGTACATATCCATCTCAACTAATCTATAAATTGAAGTTCACTTATGAATTTATTTTATGAGGCCAGCATTACTTTGATACCCAAACTAATGTAAGAGACTGCAGAGAGAGAGAGAGAGAGAGAGAGAGAGAGAGACTTATAGGCCGATATTCTTGATAAATGTACACACTGAAATTCTCAACAAAATAGTACCAAAACAAATTGAATAATATATTAAAATGATTCTACACCCTGATCAAGTGTGAATATACCAGTGATGCAAGAATGGCTCGACATCCAGGAAACAATTGATGTGATTCATCAATAAAAATATGCATATTCAAGAATTCAAGAGATACAGGAAAAGAAATAGAATACTATATGCGTTACTGATAAAAACATTTCAAAGAAGGCTTATAGAAGGAAACAATCTCAGCTTGACAAAGAGTATATATGACAACCTCGCCACTAGCTATATACTCAATTGTGAAACAATGAAAACTTTCTTTTTAAAATCAAAAACAAATGAAGAATGTCCACTTTCATTATGATTATTTGAAATAAAATTGGAATAATTAAACTACAGAGTGGAAAAATAAATAACAAATAACTTTAAAAAATTATTTTGTTATTCAAGTACAGTTGTCTGCATTTACCCCCCAACATTCGCCCCCCCAACCCAGCTATCCTCACCTCCCTCCCCTGCTTCCACCCAGCCTTGGTTTTGTCCGTGTGTCCTTTATAGTTGTTCCTGAAAATCATTCCAATCTTTCCCCCAGTTATCCCCTCCCACTTCCCCTCTGGTTACTGTCAGATTGTTCTTAATTTCAATGTCTCTGGTTATATTTTGCTTGCTTCTTTGTTTTGTTGATTAGGTTCCACTTAAAGGTGAGATCATATAGTATTTGTCCCTCACCACCTAGCTTATTTCACTTTGCACAATGCTCTCCATTTCCATCCATGCTCTCGCAAAGGGTAGCAACTCCTTCTTTCTTTCTGCTGCACAGTATTCCATTGTGTAAATGTAGCATAATTTTTTAACCCATTCATTTACTGATGAGCACTTAGGTTGCTTCCAGCACTTGGCTATTGCAAATTGTACTGCTATGAACATTGGGGTGCATAGGTTCTTATGGATTGGTGTCTCAGGGTTCTTAGGATATAATCCTAGCAGTGGAATTGCTGGGTCAAAAGGC